TATCAAACAATTTCTAAACAATTGAATTCTTTTGACGAATTTTAATAAAATTTATAAGAATAATTACATTTTTCGAGAAATTCGATTAAAATTGTAATAAAAATAATAGAAATTCTGCGATGATGAAAATAATTGAATTCCTAAAAAAAATTTCATTATATTTACAAAAATAATTGAATCTCTGTAAAAAATTTTATTATTTATGAAAATAATATAATTATTGCGAAGAAATTTTTAAAAAATTTGTAAATAATTGAATTCGTGTGAAATTATTATTTATGAAATAAATTAAATGTTTGGGTAGAATTTTATCAAAATATTTTTTAAAAACCTAATTGAATCTTTTTGGAAAATTTCATTAAAATAATGAATATTAAAAATCATTAAATTGATGAAAATTTTTGAAAATAATTGAAATTTTGACAAGAATTTTATTTAAATTTTTTAAAATAATTGAATTTTGAAGAAGAATTTGATTATTTATAGAGATAATTAAAATTTTGACGAGAATTTATTTAAATTTTTGAACATAATTGAATTTCTGAGAAGAATTTTATTACTTTTGAAAATAATTGAAATTCTGTGATGAGTTTTATTATTCATAAAAATAATGGAATTATTGCGAAGAAATTAATTAAAAATTTGTAAATAATTGAATTCCTATGAAATTATATAATTTGTAAAAATAATTAAATGTTTGCGTACCTAGAATTTTCTTCAAATTTTTTTTAATAATTGAATTCTTTTGGAAAATTTTATTTAAATAGTAGATATTGAAAATCATTGAAATGAACAAAATTTTTGAAATTAATTGAAATTTTGCAAAGAATTTTATTACAATTTTTGAAGATAATTGAATTTTAGAGAAGAATTTTATTATTTATATACATAAAATTGAAATTTTGACTAGAATTTTTGAAAATTTTTGAACATAATTGAATTCTTCTATAAATCCATTATTTTTAATAATTAATTAAATATATGTCATAAAATTTAACTAGTTTCAGAAGGAATTGAATTATTTAAATTTTTCAAAAAATCTAAGTTTCTTTTTCATTAAATAATTCATAATAATTTTATGATAGTTCTCCATGAATAAAGTTATTTAATATTTATTTTCGATCGAAAATCAGTAGTTAGATTTAATTTTAGTCAGACAATGTTATGATCATATTTATGTAAATTCTCTTCTTATATTTTTATTTCTTTTTGTATAGAAAGATTCTTTTTTCTATTTTGTACCGTTTTTTCTTTTGAAATTACAATTTTTTATACCCAAAAGTCGAAATAAAAAATATGCGCAAAATTAATTCTCTATAAAATATTAAGGTCATAGGACATTTACTGATATTCAGTATAATGTAAAAATATTTTACAGACTAAAATTATCTTTAATGACTAATTTTCAAATAAAAAAATGAGAAAAAAATTGTACGACTATATAGAATTGATTTAAACCACTTAACTGACCTAAACTACTTATATTTTCAATTAAAAATATTTTGAAAAAGGTTTTTTATTTTCCGAATTTGAAAAAAAGTAGCAAAAAGAAGATTAAAAATTCCTCTTCACTATCAAAATAAGTGGAGAAAAAAAAACTTCTAAATGCATGTTTCCACACACTGAATAAAGAGACCGTTTCATCGAAAATGAGCGTCTCGACTGAAACCCCCTAAGGAAATGTAAACCCGTTGACATCGTGGGCTGCAAATCGAGTCGCACTTGCGGTGAGAATTTCCGTCTCGCGGGCTAAGTAGGTAAAAGCAAGTAGTAGAGTTGGAAATGGACAAAGATGAAATGGAGCAAGACATGCATTGGCGCGTGTCGGGAGTGCCTCCTTTGCTTGTTGCTGCAAAGCCAGGCGCATAGATATTACGTAGGCAGCACATATTCTATATAGTCAAACGCGAATCAACCAGGCAATTTTTAACATTAATATACGTCCCACTGTCATCTTACGGCAATAAAACATGTTTATACATATGTTAATCCCGCTCTATCACAACGGATTACTACACAAAGAGTTTGAATAAGAAAAATTGAATTCCCGTTTTTGTAAAAAAAATAAAAAATCCGTTTGTTTTACAATTATTCCTTGGTACTACAGTACCTTCCTTATAAAAAAACACTAGAAAAAAGTTGGTGTGATTTTTGTTGCGTGTTAAATTAACCAATGTTAAACGACATAGAATGTGGCGCCACCTATAACGGTTAAATTTGTTGCGTGTTATTTTAACACCAAATTCGGTGTTAAAATAACACTTTATTTTCTATGCATAAAATTTAGGTACCCACAAGGCAAAAATATAAAATTACTTTTACTATTTACAAACTAAACCCTAAACTGTCTAGAACTTCTTCCCTGAAACTTTTACTATTTCCAAAGTACATTTTACTATACTATACTAAACTTTTACACTTTTACGCAATTTACGGACCAAAAATAAAAAATTACGGACCAATGACTGACAACAATATAACCAGTCCGAGTCAAATAAGAGAACATTTTACTTAAAACTATATAAATTAAATTTTTCATAACTATAAAACATGAAGATATTGATAATAATAATTAAAAATGGCCCAGTGATAAAATCATTATTTTATATTATAAGAATATAGTACTTCTTCAAAATTATTTTCATCATTTCAACTATTTTCTAGAATTTTTAACTAAAATTCTTCTTTAAAATTAAATCAATTAATTTTCGAAAAAGTTCTTTGAGAATTTTCAAATTCATTTGCTTATAATATTCAATTTTACAAAATTTTAATTATTTGTAAATTCTTCAATTAAATAAATATTAGAAAATAAAAACATTAAATAATATAAAAAAAATTCATTTCAAAATTCAATTATTTCTAAAAATCCACGCTATATTGCTTTTAATATTTAATTATTATCTAAAATTTTAACCGAAATTAATTTTTTAATCAATTTTTATTAGAAAATTCTACGAGAATTCAATTATATTAATGCAAAAAAAATGATTCATTGAATAATTAAATATTTCTTGAAATTGAATTCTCATAAAGAATTTTATCAACAAATTTTTAAATAATTGAATTCTATTGACGAATTTTAATAATAAAATATTTAAGAATAATTACATTTTTTGAGAAATTAGATTAAAATTGTAATAAAAATAATAGAAATTCTGCGATGAGTTTTATTTTTTATGAAAATAATTGAATTTCTAAAAATAATTTTATTATTTACAAAAATTATTGAATCTCTGTAAAAAATTTTATTATTTATGAAAATAATATAATTATTGAGAAGAAATTTATATAAAATTTGTAAATAATTTAATTTCTGTGAAATTATTATTATTTATAAATAAATTAAATGTTTGGGTAGAATTTTATCAAAATATTTTTTTAAAACTTATAATTGATGGATTTTTGCCAAGAATTTTATTTAAATTTTTAAAAATAATTGAATTTCGAAGAAGAATTTTATTATTTATAGAGATAATTGAAATTTTGACGAGAATTTATTTAAATTTTTGAACATAATTGAATTTCTGAGAAGAATTTTATTACTTTTGAAAATAATTTAATTCCTTAAAAGTAATTTATTATTTTCGAACATAATTTAATTTCTGAGAAAAATTTTATTACTCTTGAAAATAATTGAATTTCTGCAATAATTTGTAATTTTATCAAAATAAAATTTTTTTTACTGTTTTTAATTTAAATTCTTCTATAAATCAATTATTTTTAATAATTTTTAAAAAAGTTCTTTAAGAATTTTCAAATTCATTTGTTTACAATTCAATTTTACAAAACTTTAATTATTTGGAAATTCTTCAATTAAATATATTATATTAGAAAATAAAAACTTCAAAAAAATAATTTCAAGTAAAAGTGCAATAATCTTTTTCAAAAAAATTAATTTTTCTACAAAATTGTTAGTTAAAAGTATAAAAAATTTAAATTTTTAAAGATTTTAATATGGAAATTTTTCAATATTCTATTATTTCTCAGAATTCAAGCTATAATCCTAATAATGTTTAATTATAAACTAAAATTTTAAGAGAAATTTATTTTATTGAATAATTGAATAGTGAATTCTCATAAAGAATTTTATTAATAAATTTTTAAATAATTGAATTCTTTCTACGAATTTTAATAAAAGTTTTAAGAATAATTACACCTTTTGAGAAATTCCATTAAAATTGTATTAAAAATAATTGAAATTCAACATTGAGTTTTATTATTTATGAAAATAATTGAATTCCTAAAAAGAATTTTATTATTTCTGAGAATAATTGAATCCCTATACAAAATTTTATTATTTCTACAAAAAAATTGAAATTTTGACGAGAATTTAAAAAAATTTTTGAACATATAATTGAATTTCTGCAAAGAATATTATTAATTTTGATAATAATTGAATTTCTGCGAAGAATTTTATTAATTTTGAAAATAATTGAATTTCTGCGAAGAATTTTATAAATTTTGAAAATAATTGAATTTCTGCAATCATTTGTAACTTCTCTAAATTTATCCAAATTATATTGTACAATTTACGAACTTTTCATCCTTTTTCTATCAAATTACTGACTTTACGGACCGTTTTTCAAAAAAACTGATTTTTACTGACTTGAAGCAAATTTACGGACCTTTACGGGATTTACGAACCTAGCTCGAGCCCCGAGATAATGAAAATAATTTCAATATAAAGAAAATAATATCAAGATAACAAGATGAATAATATCAAGATAATAGAAACAATATCAAAATAATGAAGATATAAATGCAACATTCCGCAGATACTATCAGAAATAGAAAACACCTTATCTCTTAAAAAGTGTTTTTAAAATAAAAATCCTTCTTTTCTTTACAAACATATTCCGATATGGATAAGCAGGACCCAATGCGCAATGTAATGCCATCAGGCATTTACAATATAACTATAAAGAGATTTACGCCCAAGCCGCAACAATCTATTCGTATTGGTATGAATAACTACTTATGAGTGAAAATAAACTTACCACACGCCTGGAACGAGAAAATGTACACGCATTGCACTGATAGTAGAGTTTCTAAACCCACAGGTCATCCGCCTATAATGGCTGGTTCTAGTTCGCCTTGGGCAAGGTGTTTCCAGGATGTAATCATATCACGAAACTGGAACACATAATGATTATTTATTAGCTTCAAAAAAAAAAAAAAATTACAATAAAAAATAAGTCCATATACATTCATATTATTGACATATTATTAAATTATCGAATTATCAGATCTCTCTTTTCTCTAATAGTTGTCATTATAATAAAAATTCTCATTCTTCATCGTATTATGGTCAACATTTTATAAGACTAGACAAGAGCAAAATTTCTCAACGAGACTTTTTTTTATTACTAAGTCGTTTTTAAAAAAAACTAATTAATTCGATTTTTTTAAAATTTTTCCTACTCTTAAATTTAGAGTACAATTTTCTCTTACTCTAAGAACCTATTTTCTTGTACCAATTCATTGCATCATAAAATATAACGATCTATTATGTATGATTAACTTTAATTACATCTTGCATATCGTTATTTCGTAATTGTAAATTTAATTATTCAATTATAACTGAGAGTTAAAATAACAATTTAGAGATTTCTAAATTCGAACATTTAGATATTAATTATTAGTTTCCATTTACATTTTTAAATCCCACTGAGAAACAACTTCAGTCAGTTTCAAGTCTACGTCTGACTATAAATGCCTCTTACTACTTGCAACAAGTTTTGAAGCATTTTCATCTTCATATTACCCAATTTCGATAAATCAAAGTTGTCAAGTTATACTTATAATTTTAATACTATAAATATAATATTATATATATTTTTTATTATATTATATTATTATTTTGTAAGCACTTTAATTTCGATAAATATTCGTCTTCTTTTGGCTTAAAACAAGAAAAACAAAAAAAAATTTTTTTTTATTTCTTTGTGTCGTTTATTCATAATTAATATTTTTTTCTGTATTAAACCCAGAGAAATGGCATATTTGGCTCAGAACCAACTAGACTTTTTATTTGTTTCAAATAAATTTTATTTGATTTAAATAAAATTTTATTTGTTTTAAATAAATTTTATGTGATTTAAATAAAATTTTATTTGGCTCAAATATATGTTTTATTTATATCGAATAAAAATTTTATTCGAAACAAATAAAAAGTCTAGTTGGTTCTGAGAAAAATATACGTTTATTTAAGTCAAATAAAATATATTTGGTTTAAATAATATTTTCTCTATATAATATATAATTAATCGTTTATTTAAACCAAATAAATTTTTTGTTCCACTCTATTATGTACAGAAATATTGAAAGTGCCACAAGTGTTTTCAATTTCAAAATAATTTTTATAGAAATGTGCGGAAACACGAGATATCGTGTGATTTTCACACACATTTAATTGCAGCTTTCCAGTGTAGCGCATGTCATATCGAATTTCTGTTACATGTAAAAGCAAAACCAAGAGAAACTACTAAGAAAAATATGTAAAGATCAAAAGTCTGGAATTCAGAAAACATACATACGTACGTATATATAAATAATATGTATATATACGTATATATAAGAGGATCAGTGCTAAAATCGCCCTCACGCTCGTATCCGCAACAACTCACTTTCGCCAATAAAGCACCAACAAAGTGCCTTGAAAATTGAGTCGACTATCGCAATTCCCGCACACCTCACTCGAAAATCACTGGAGCATGTCAATAAATCATCCCGCCAGAGAGGTGTGTGTTTATACGATTATAAAGAATTTCTTAATTCTGTTTCCCTCAATGAGAAAGAGAGATGGTAAAGATCTTTCATTAACCCACTTTCATCTCTATTTCATCTACAATCTTTACAACACTCTTCAATACCTACAACGCATTCTTCGTTTCTATTAATTTTTATTCATTTATAACAACTTTACAGGTAAAGCAAAATTTGTTTTTCACGTCAAAGTTTTCCTACACTGAAAAAAAAATTTATTTGATTCAAATAACCGATTAATTAAAAGTGTTGCGAAGCAACGTTTTGATTCGTTTTTTGTCTCAATTTCATATTCTTAAGAAAACTGTAAAATGATTATTTAAATCAAATAAATCAATTCTTATTCGAAAATTCTTCGAGAATTCAATTATTTAAATACAAAAATAAATAAATAATTTATTGAATAATTGAATATTTCTTAAATTTCAACTCTTATAAAGAACTTTATCAACATTTTATAAAATAATTAAATTTTTACGAAGAATTACATTAAAATTTTTGATGATAATTAAAATCATTCAAGAAATGTAATTGAAAATGAATTGAAAATAATTATTACACTCGCACTCTAAGAAACCAATTATATCAAATTTTTTTAAATAATTGAATTTTTTCCGAAGAATTTTATTTAAATTTTTAAGAATAATTGAGTTTTCAGAGGAATTATGAAGTTATATTAAAAATAATTGAAATCCTGCGACGAGTTTTATTATTTATGAAAATAATTTAATTTTTGTCATCTTAATTTAATAAAGTTTTTAAAATAATTGCATTCTTGAGAAGAATTTTAAAACGATCTTTTTAAAGAAATGATTGTTTTCCAAAAGTTTTATGAAAATTGTGTTTTAAATAATTGAATTTCTTTGAAAATTGTATATTGTTTATAAAAATAATTGAATTCGTTTAAAAAATTTTATTAAAATTATATTGAAAACCATTCAATTATTATAAAGAATTTCATTAAAATTGTTAAGAATAGTTGCATTTTTCGCACAATTCATTTAAAATTCTATTAAAAATAATTGAATTCTTACAAAGATTAATATTAAATTTTTTTTAAATAATTGAATTCCTGCGATGAATTTTATTATTTATGAAAATAATTGAATTTTTGCAAAGAATTTTATTAAAATTTTTAAAAAATAATTGAATTTCTGCAAATAATTCTATTATCCGTGAAGATAATTGAATTTTTTCGCAGAATTTCATTAAAATATTTTAAAATAATAAAATTCTTTCCAGAAATATAACTAAAAATGAAATTGAAAATGATGATTAAATTCTAATAAACAAATTATGTATATCAAAATCATTTTAAATAATTGCATTTTTCACCGAATTCATTTAAAATTTTATTAAAAATAATTGAAATCCTGCTATGAGTTTTAATATTTATAAAAATAATTGAATGATTGCGAAGAATTTTATAAACATTTTTTTTAAATTATTCAATTCTTTTGGGAAATTTCTTTTTAAAATAATAGATATTAAAAATCATTGAATTACGAAATAATGAATTACGAATTTATGAAAATAATTAAATAGTTTTAAAGAATTTTATTAAATTTTTTTGAATTTTTTCCAATAACTTTATTAAAATTTTTTAAAATAATTTTTTTATTTCAACTGTTAATAAGTTTAAAGTAGTGTAAATTCTCAAACATGGAAAAAAGCAGCTTTTAGTGTAATAACCAAAAAAAAAAGTATCCAAATAGTAGAAAATCATAAAAAAAAGTAGTAAATAGTAGGTTTTAATAGATGAGTGCGAGGCCTGAAATATGCATTTAGATTAAACAAACTACATTTAATCTTGTACCCGGAAAGAGAGTAACACATTTTTCTCCCTGTAAATTTTTTTTTGTCTACTTCAACTATCAATATAAGAGTGCGTATAAATAGTTTTTCTTGGAAAACAATAAAATATGAAGTAATAAAATGTTATCTTTGAATTTAAATTTTAAGATTGGCTTCTGTGCTTCGAAGGTAAAGATATATTATAGATTAGCTTCGAGGCCAGAGCATCAATAAATTGAGGCTACCTACGTAAAATGCCAGTCGAGTTGGTAGTTGATGCGAGCGCAAGCCGAACCGGTTGGCACGCGCTTCAACAATCCAAAGACCAAAACGACGCATTCATCTTTCTCTCTTTCTCTCTCTTTCCCTCCACCTTTACTATGCTTTCCTGACACCTACCCTTTTCCACATGCCCTTTACATACACAAAATTCCCATCCATTAAACCCACTTCGTCTCTTTTCGCCGGTATTCAACAAGTTGCGTAGGCTTTAAGCGATAAATTGATGACTATAGAAATAGATACCAAGCAAAATGCTTTCATTTTTTTTATATAAAAAAAAACAACAAGAAACCTCTTTTTTAAATAGAAAAAAAATTATTTGATTCAAATAATCAATTAATTGTGTATTATCAATAAATAATTACTTGAATCAACTAAATTTTAATTAACATAATTAAATATTATTTAATCCAAATACTGAAATTATTGTTTCAAACACAATTTATTTGGCTTAAATAAAAATTAATTGACTCAAGTAAATATTTATTTGATAATATAGACAACTAATCTGTTATTTATATCAAAAAAATTTTTTTCAGAGCTAAAGTTGCGAATTAGTATCCAGATAATTGTAATTTTGTTACAAATAATAAAAAAAATGAAAAAAAATTATTTGACTCAAGTAAATATCCATTTGATATTTTAATTTTCGGAAACTGTAAAAAAAACTATTCGGTTCAAATAACCGTCTAGTTGTCTATTATCTAAAAAATATTCAGTTCAATCAAATAATTTTTATTTAGGTCCATTAAATTGTATTTAAACGATTTTAAACATTAATTTCAGTATTTAAAACAAATATCATTTAATTGCCTCAATTAAAAATTATTTGATGCAAATAAATATTTATTTAATAATAGACAAGTAATCGTTTATTTGAATCAAATATTTTTTTTCAATGGACGATTAAATTTGCATCACCGTTATTAAAAATATTAGAATTTAAATAATTTAAAATTTGAATGAATTAAATTTAAAGTCGATTAAAAATTATATTATTAAATTAATAAATTTTATTATGAATTAAAAATAAAATAAATATTAAAATAAATAAATTGGAGATAAAGATAAAATGTCAACAAAATAAAATGTAAAAAGTTGTTATTCGGATAGAAGAATAAATTGAAAAATAACTCTCTACAAATTTATTGGGAGTGAATTTTCATTTCATTTGGTTCAAGAACAATAAAAGAGAAACTTGGAGTTAATTTTAATAAATATTTTGCCAATCAAGTAAATAGAAAATTTTCTAAAAACAGAAAAATAATTGAAAAATTTACAGTTAATTTTCA